GGATGTATTAGGAAGTTTTTTGAGCAGGGGAAGAGAAGAGTATGTGAGGCAAGCTAATAAGACAGTCTGTGTCAGCTGGTTATATTTCACTGAGACCTGAGCGGTGAGCAGGCAGCAGCTATGGGAATGCTGGACGAAGAAAGACCAGCAAATGCAGGATGTCTGAGGGACCAGTGGATATGGAGCAAAGTGGAGCAGGAGAATTGTGTAAAATTCAGTCAGAGAATGAAGAGCTTAGTGAACTAGCTACAAATCTTAGATGTATATGCACCATGAGCTTTGGGACCACTGGAATTGCCTTTTTGGGAGCGCTATGGCATTTGATCTAAAAATACCCAGGGCATAGGCGATATAGTTACAGTAAGTTTGCAAAGGGGGAATGACATCAAAGTAAGTGTGACCTCCCCTTTCAAACTCCAAACCGACAGCATCAATACACTGTATGCACCTGACACCTGGCACCTGACAATAGCTATCATCTTTACCTTCAATATCTGCAAGTAATAGTGGAATCCTGACCCAAAAAAATGTTCTTATTCATTACTGTGAACGTTCATATACACATTAACACCAACTCTTATGTAGTTACACAGAACTCTGAATTCTGTAATAGTAGCACCTTTGTCATAGAGATTTGAGATGGATTAAATGTTAATCCTTGTAATGATTTTTTTAAAATCCTTGAACTATACTAAACCTTCAGTAAATATTAACCAAAGCTCCAAATATTCTATTTTGAGCAACGGTACAAAACATGATCTCATTTGGCAGGGGGAAATTTTACAAGAAGAACCATATTTTTATTTTATGTGGGGGTGGGGGAAATATAGGGTTGCTATGAATAAGAATTAGCTTGCTGGTAGTGAGCTGGTTATTTTGGTTGGGTGGGGTATTAATGTCCCCGGGTGGTGCAAGCCCTGGTGATATAATAGTTCCCCTTGGGCTGCTCACCACTAGATCAGCAGTTGACAACCACCAGCTAGATGCTCTGAAAGAGCAAGATGAGCCTTTCTAGCCTGTCCAATAGTGACCTTGTGAGTAGGAATTGATTGGATGGCAGTGGATTTGGTTTTGAACTTACCCACAGAAGAAAGGCCCAGAGACCTGCTTCCACCAAGATGATCACCAGAAAAACGCTATGGAGCCTTCCACACAGGGACATAGGGGTTAACAGCAATGGCGTTGGTTGTGGTGTAGGGGAGCATTAGTAATTTCTCATTTAGTCTCTATCAGAAATCTCTATATCATTAGGGAGCAGCTAGAAATATGGATAGGAAGTTTAGAAGAGTTAAGAACGATTTTTATTTTTGTGAACACATTATGAAAGGTACATGAATCCATGGACACAGATAGTAGAATACGTGGGGGAAAGAACACAGTCTTTTGTTGGTTTAGGAGTTGTGGTTGCATAGTGGATTATGCCTTGGGTTGCTAACCCGTATCAGTAGTTCAAAACCACCAGCTGCTCCGAGGGAAAAGAGGAGGCTTTCTACTCCTGTAAAGAGTAAGTCTCAGAAATGCACAGGTACAGGTCTACCCTATCCTACAGGGTCACTGTGAGGAAGGGAGGGAGGGAGGGAGACTTGTTTGAACTTTACCAGGATATTATGCCTTGTGAGAGCTTGGCAGGAGTCAAAGCTGTCAGCCCTAAACACTGTGTATTTCTTTTCCCCCATGCCCTCTTGGACATTACCAACGACTAATTCTACCTCTGCAATATCTTTCAAATCGATTCACTGTGTCAAACTCTGCTTCCACCGCCTTGGACCGGGCAATGCAAGGAAAATGGCAGTTCTCACTGGATCGAGCAGGATCGGCTAACGCACTTAGTGGCTCACAGCACATGCACATGTCTTCCGGGCGTGCGTCAAACGTCCCTCTTCGACTAGTGAATAACCCCGATGCCCTTCACTGGCTTGGGGACCTTGGTACCTTTCAGCTCTGCCCAAACAAGCAAGGTCACTTTCTCGAGGTCACCATTTTAAAATAAATTCTCCCTTCCCAGGCTGTCCCTGCGTGCTCTGACTGGCAACGCTCACCTCCTTTCCGGGCTTGCACTTCTAATCCCGCACCTGCTGCTGAACCCCGAGGGCAGACGGCTGACCTCTCCGCCAGAGGTGCGAACGATGCCGGGG